TTCAATGTTATGTCTAAATTTAGTTGTTTTTCGGGAGCTTTTAAGAATCAAAACATAGCTTTAATCACATATCTTGTATGTAGGTATATTAAAGCTTCAATTGTAGACCATTTATTAACAAGTTAAGCTTTAAACTTTCTGTCTTTCAAAATGAAAGTTCTGCTTGTAATGGAAACCTTTATAAAGGCAAAGTTAAGCTTTTAAGTTTCAAAAGTTTTAAGTGTTAAGCTTAGCTTTAAAACAGCTCTTCTCAAGAGCCTTTTAAGTATATACCATTTATTAACAAGTTAAGCTTAAAGCTTGGGAACTTTTAAAGTAAAAGTTCATCCAATAATGTAAACGTAAATAAAGACCAAATAAAGCTTTTATGTTTAAAAACTATTAGGTTTCAATCATTAGCTTTTATCGATGACTTTAGCTTTAACATAACGCTTTTATATTCGCATATTTAAGCCTAAAAGTAAAAGCTCAGCAAAGTTTTTAATTTAAAAAATATTATGTTACGTTTAAAACAACCTTTAACCTTTTAAAAGTAAATTTTTAGCTTTAATCATATGCTTTTATATATTTTCAAATTAAGTTTTAAACCTCGGGACTTCCAAAGTAAAAATTTAGCTTATAGTGTAAAGCTTTATATAATCAAAGTTAAGCTTTTATCGAAAGCATTTGTATAGCCAAACTCCACATTCAGTAGTAGTATATATAACTTTTTAGTTAAAAACTCATTAAAAACTTCTTACTAGGAAAAGCTTTTTTATATAAAAGAAATTTTTTGAGGAAAAAAAGCTTTCACAACTTTAAAATAAGGATTTAAAAAGCTACCACAAAAAATCTTGACTATGCTCACTTTATTAATGAAAGCCTTTTACTGAAAAAATATTTAAAATAAAAAGCTTTTTTAGAAATTTGTTTTCTAAGAATAGATTAAATATCTCTATAATGAATAATTGCTAAGAAAGTTTAGCAATGTATGGTATAACCGAGAAACTTTGAAAACAAAAAGCTTTTTAAAATAAAAGGGATATGTAATTATAATATTCCATAAAGAAAAGCTTCATCGCAGAAGAAATGCATATAAAGTCATAAAAAACATCTTAAAACATACTTTAGTAAAAAGCTTTTTCGAAGAACATTCACCATAAAGACATATTTAAAGCGAATTTAAAAGAAACAGCTTTCACAGCTACCAAAAAAGCTAATAACACTTTTATTTCAGAAAATAAAAAAGTGTTTCATATAAAAGCTTTTTGAAAGAAAAAACTTTTTTCAGGAGAAGATTCTTTCCATTATAAACAAGTTCTAAGAAAACTTTAAACATAAAAAAGCTTTTTCAAAAAAGCTTTCTAAAGAAAAGCTTTAAAAGAATAAACTTTCACATCTACAAGAAAAAGACTTAAACATTTTCACAAAGAGCTATATAAAAAGCTTTTTAAAGAAATTTCCAAGAAAGTAAAAAGCTTTTTGATGGAAAAAACTTTTTCCAAGAGAAGATTCTTTTCATTATAAACAAGTTCTAAAAAAAAACTTTTTCAAAAACGCTTTTAAGAAAAAATGGCATTTAAAAGTATTACAATAGATTTTTTAAGCAAAAAAGTTTTCGATAAAGGTCTAGCATAAACACATTTTTAGAACAAAAGCTTTAAAAAAGCTTTCATATGTTAAGGAAAATAACAAGAAAATTATCACAGAAAGCTTTCTTAATGGATGGAAGAAAATTTCCCAAGATAAGATTCTTTCCATTATAAACAAGTTCTAAGACAACATTGAAAATAAAAAAGCTTTTTCTAAAAAGCTTTTAAGAAAAAAAGTGGCATTTAAAAGTATTACAATAGATTTTTAAAACAAAAAAGTTTGCGATAAAGATCTTGCATAAACACATTTTTAGAACAAAAGCTTTAAAAAAAAGCTTTTACATATTTAGAAAAAAAATATCAAGAAAATTATGACAAAAGCTTTTTAATACAAAAAGCTTTTATTGCTAAAAAAAAATTAAAAATATAGTTTTAAATGAAAAGCTTTTAAAGAAATGTTTTTTTCTAAGAAAATTTTGAACAGTTTCAAGACATGATTAAGCTTTGAAAATAAAAAAGCTTTTAAAGGAAATCTTTTTAAATAAAAGGCTTTTTATGCAAATTTTAGCACTTCATTCCACCAAAAATAAATGTTTAAGAAAAAAGCTTTAGAAAAGAAAAGCTTTCATACTACTTTGAAATCCACTATGTCTCAGAAGAGAATAGCATAGGATTAAGAAATGAAAACTTACAAAATTTTAGCGATAGCTTTTAGCTTTTTAAGAAAAAAGTTTTGGAAAAGAAAAAGCTTTCATACCCTTTTGAAATCCACTATCTCATGGGAGTAAGAAATGAAAACTTACGAAATTTTCAAAATTACATTAATTTTTATTAAAGCCACCTTTAATTAACTTCAAACAAATTTTCAAGAATTCAACTGCGAGAACGTTTTGTGGCACCCTTCACACCTATATAAATAACTTTATGTTTCTTATCAGATTTGTACAGTGTAACGGCGGCAATAAACTTTAGATTAGGCAAAGGAAATTGTGGGACTTCAAATTCATAATTTTCCAAAGTATAAGTTATATTCTGAAAAACGAAAAAAATAAAAAAAAAAAAATATTGAAAAAGTTTTTCCCTAATTTCTAACTAAAACTCACCGCTTCGATGGGACACTTTTTGGGAAAACCCTTTTGTTTACTCAGTTCAGTGAATACTAATTTGGGTATCTTCAATCTATTGTAAGTACCATTGAGAAAGCTACAAACATCTATCATTAAATCCAATACCTCAAAACGAGTCTTATCGGGTTTTTCAAAATTCAAAGTAAATTTCATATACATATTCGGTATGACTTGATTATATTGAAAGAAACCACTTATAGCTCTGCGGCCTTGAAATGTTACAAAGTGAACATCGAGTAGGGTGACAATATCTTTCATAAAGTTTTCGGTGTAAATATCATTAAGAACGATGCCTACATAGTTCTAGAGAGAAGATATAGAAAATTAAATTTGACTTAGACTCAAGAACTTACGAGTTTTTTTGAAAAGCTTTTTAAAAACTTCAAATCATAAACAAATCTAAATTATTTCCTTAATATTACAATTAAACTAAAAGAAAATTGTACTTACATTCGGCGCTTTGGCTGCCCACATTACTTGGGTATAAAATAAAAGCAACAAAAAAATTTTACACATTTTTTTTTTCGCTTAAAACAAACTTTTTACAAACGCGTTTTAATACCCACAACTTAAAGCTTAAAATACAATTTTATTTAACAACAATTTTTCTAAATTTTCTCCCTTAAAAAAAATATATAAAAATTTTAATTGTGTTTTAATGTCTATTAAATTATAATTAAGTTATTTGTGTTTGTTAACATTTTAATTACAACAATAGTAATTTCAGTTTAATAACATTTTAATTTATATGAAAACTTTCCAACATAATAACAGCGAACAAAAAAAAATGATTTAATTTTAAATATTATTAAAACTATATTAATAATTAAATTCCCTTTAGTGCCAAAATCAAAAGCTCTTAACTGCCTTTTGTTCCATATTAATTTACGAGCATTTTGTTGTTAGTACTTATTTATAACTACATGACCAGCAAAAGGCCTACAAAAATATTTCTTTCTATTGCTCTTTTTTAAATGCCAAACAACTGTCATTCAAAAAGTCTCAAACTTAAAGCTGTACTCCTCCACTTTTGTTTCATCAAAAACATCTTTACCCTTGAGTAGGTGCAAACGGTGCCACTTTGTCTACTTTTAGAGTTGTTGTTCTTCGGTGCCAACTGTTTAGTTTCTTTCTTCATTTCTTTTGACTGAAGTTGTACAAATAAATTGAAATTCTCTTAAGAGACTTAAATTAACAGCCAAAGTGTCGTTTTTGTTGTTTTGTGCCATTTTGCACTTTTTCGGTAGAAAATTAACTGTACATTATACGAAATGAGCAAATTTAGTTGAAAATTGTTCTTAACTTAAGGTTCATTAAAAAGACAAGAGCATGAAAAAAAATATAAAATTAGAATAAATTAGATTATCCAATACTTACATCAGTGTAAGTCAAAACTTTACTGCAGAGCACAAGCCAGTAGTCGACACTCATAGGCACTAAAAGCTGCAAACTGAACTATATTGAAGACTCTAGACTTAGATATAGGCAAGGCTATAAACTGATCTATATTGAAGACTCTCTATAGTCCAGACAATAGAGAATTCTATAGTCCCAGACTATAGACTGTTCTATAGTCCAGACTATAGACTGTTCTATAGTCCAGACTATAGACTGTTCTATAGTCCAGACTATAGACTGTTCTATAGTCCAGACTATAGACTGTTCTATAGTCCAGACTATAGACTGTTCTATAGTCCAGACTATAGACTGTTCTATAGTCCAGACTATAGACTGTTATATAGTCCAGACTATAGACTGTTATATAGTCCAGACTATAGACTGTTATATAGTCCAGACTATAGACTGTTCTATAGTCCAGACTATAGACTGTTTATAGGCCAGACTATAGACTGTTCTATAGTCCAGACTATAGACTGTTCTATAGTCCAGACTATAGACTGTTCTATAGTCCAGACTATAGACTGTTCTATAGTCCAGACTATAGACTGTTCTATAGTCCAGACTAGACTGTTCTATAGTCCAATATAGACTGTTCTATAGTCCAGACTATAGACTGTTCTATAGTCCAGACTATAGACTGTTCTATAGTCCAGACTATAGACTGTTCTATAGTCCAGACTATAGACTGTTCTATAGTCCAGACTATAGACTGTTCTATAGTCCAGACTATAGACTGTTCTATAGTCCAGACTATAGACTGTTCTATAGTCCAGACTATAGACTGTTCTATAGTCCAGACTATAGACTGTTCTATAGTCCAGACTATAGACTGGTCTATAGTCCAGACTATAGACTGTTCTATAGTCCAGACTATAGACTGTTCTATAGTTCCAGACTATAGACTGTTTCTATAGTCCAGACTATAGACTGTTCTATAGTCCAGACTATAGACTGTTCTATAGTCCAGACTATAGACTGTTTCTATAGTCCAGACTATAGACTGTTCTATAGTCCAGACTATAGACTGTTCTATAGTCCAGACTATAGACTGTTCTATAGTCCAGACTATAGACTGTTCTATAGTCCAGACTATAGACTGTTCTATAGTCCAGACTATAGACTGTTCTATAGTCCAGACTATAGACTGTTCTATAGTCCAGACTATAGACTGTTCTATAGTCAGACTATAGACTGTTCTATAGTCCAGACTATAGACTGTTCTATAGTCCAGACTATAGACTGTTCTATAGTCCAGACTATAGACTGTTCTATAGTCCAGACTTCTATAGTCCAGACTATAGACTGTTCCATAGTCCAGACTATAGACTGTTCTATAGTCCAGACTATAGACTGTTCTATAGTCCAGACTATAGACTGTTCTATAGTCCAGACTATAGACTGTTCTATAGTCCAGACTATAGACTGTTCTATAGTCCAGACTATAGACTGTTCTATAGTCCAGACTATAGACTGTTCATAGTCCAGACTATAGACTGTTCTATAGTCCAGACTATAGACTGTTCTATAGTCCAGACTATAGACTGTTCTATAGTCCAGACTATAGACTGTTCTATAGTCCAGACTATAGACTGTTCTATAGTCCAGACTATAGACTGTTCTATAGTCCAGACTATAGACTGTTCATAGTCCAGACTATAGACTGTTCTATAGTCCAGACTATAGATGTTCTATAGTCCAGACTATAGACTGTTCTATAGTCCAGACTATAGACTGTTCTATAGTCCAGACTATAGACAGTTCTATAGTCCAGACTATAGACTGTTCTATAGTCCAGACTATAGACTGTTCTATAGTCCAGACTATAGACAGTTCTATAGTCCAGACTATAGACTGTTCTATAGTCCAGACTATAGACTGTTCTATAGTCCAGACTATAGACTGTTCTATAGTCCAGACTATAGACTGTTCTATAGTCCAGACTATAGACTGTTCTATAGTCCAGACTATAGACTGTTCTATAGTCCAGACTATAGACTGTTCTATAGTCCAGACTATAGACTGTTCTATAGTCCAGACTATAGACTGTTCATAGTCCAGACTATAGACTGTTCTATAGTCCAGACTATAGACTGTTCTATAGTCCAGACTATTGACTGTTCTATAGTCCAGATTATAGACTATTTTATAGTCCAGATTATAGACTGTTCTATAGTCCAGACTATAGACTGTTCTAAAGTCAAGACTATAGACTGTTTTATAGTCAAGCCTATAGACTGTTCTATAGTCCAGACTATAGACTGTTTTATAGTCAAGACTATAGACTGTTCTATAGTCCAGACTATAGACTGTTCTATAGTCCAAATATAGACTGTTCTAACATCCAGACTATAGACTATACTATAGTCTATAGTCTGGACATAACTGTTCTATAGGACTATAGACTGTTCTATAGTCCAGACTATAGACTGTTCTATAGTCCAGACTATTGACTGTTCTATAGTCCAGATTATAGACTAGAACAGATTATAGACTGTTCTATAGTCCAGATTATAGACTGTTCTAAAGTCAAGACTATAGACTGTTTTATAGTCAAGACTATAGACTGTTCTATAGTCCAGACTATAGACTGTTTTATAGTCAAGACTATAGACTATTCTATAGTCCAGACTATAGACTATTCTATAGTCCAGACTATAGACTATTCTATAGTCCAGACTATAGACTATTCTATAGTCCATACTATAGACTATTCTATAGTCCATACTATAGACTATTCTATGGTCCAGACTATAGACTATTCTATAGTCCAGACTATAGACTATTCTATAGTCCAGACTATAGACTATTCTATAGTCCAGACTATAGACTATTCTATAGTCCAGACTATAGACTATTCTATAGTCCAGACTATAGACTATTCTATAGTCCAGACTATAGACTATTCTATAGTCCAGACTATAGACTATTCTATAGTCCAGACGCTAGGCTGTTCTATAGACCAGGCTATTGACAGTTCTATTGTCAATACTATAGACTGTATGTCACTTCTTTTTTGAAAACTGCAATTGAATCAAGTTTAAAATTTCTTTATATTTACGACATTATTAACCGAATAACATGTAATCATTACAACTTGTCAATAGACATAGAAATCTACATAAATTTCAGCACCCCAGGAAGTGTCTCTCAATGTAAGTGCGTACAAGTGAGTATGGGAGCAGGCCAATGTGTGTGTTTGTTTCTTTGTTTATCTGTCCCTATATTGCAGTGTGTGAGTATATTTATGTCAAAATAGCTTTATTGTTACGAGACGACAATGCAACACTTTCTATGTAAAGTCATATTTTCTCTTTACAATATAACAACAACGACAACCAACAGTAACATTAAATGTCAAGCATTAGAACTGACACTGCACACAAACAAATGAACATAATAATAGTTGAACGAACATAAATACATATACAATTTATAAACTTACAAGAGAACAGTGAGTGGAAGTTTTCTGAATATGTGGTGTATAGCTTTTGACAGTTACACAATAGTGTGTATGCAAGTTAGGAGGTTAGTTCAAAAAGAATAAAAAAATGTTTTTTCATATAATTATGATTTTTAAAAGTTTTCTAAGTAACTTTTTAGACCGCCCTCGTAAATGCCTTGTTATATTTATGTGCATTCAAGTGTTTTTGTATGCGTATGTAAGTTATTAGCACAATAAGGTTACAAGTGCACTTGCTGCATTATACGAGCACTATATCGTTATTATAAATAAACTTATTGAAACCTACATAAACATTACTAACTTGGCCATAATTTACCTGTAGGTAATTGCAAACAAAATTGGGGCAAAATTAACATTCGCAAACAGTTAACAATTCAAAAAACGAAGTCTTGTAACATGAATTGTTATCATGTAAAGATGGTATATTTAACTTATCTTTAATATGATAAGCCAATTAAATTCCGATTCTATTACTTGGTTATCAGCTTATTTAAGCACATAAAGTACATAACCTTAATTTAATTTATTCCAATTAAAGCCTTTAATTACTGAAAAGTTCTTAACAAATCATTTAATTTTTCATTACATTTTTGTGAAAACACTTTCGTTTTGCGTAAAACTTTTTTTTGACTTTCTGTTGTATTTGCATTAACAGCATAATAATGTAATTTAAGAAACTTTTATTTTCAGCTGACACTTCAAAATAATGTAGAAATACTTAAAGTCATTAACCTGCATTTATGTTAATGTTAAGTGCAAGTACCCTACAACAAGTTACATCAATTTCCTAGACCAAATTATACTGATAATGGTAAAACTATAGCTGGGCTATAGAAAATACTCTAGAAAACAGTAAAGTAGATAAGACTAAGACTAGTATATAACCTGCTCTATAGACAGGACTATAGACTGGAATATCGACAAGGCTATAGAGAAGGATATAGCCTGGACTACAAGCCAAACTATTTCCTGAACTAGAGAAAAGGTTATTGTCTAGACTCTAGACAAAGCCACATGCTGAACTATAGGCAAGGCTATAGTCCGGACTATAGACAAGGCTATAGTCTGGACTAGAGACAAGGCTATAGTCTGGACTATAGACAAGGCTGTAGTATGGACTATAGACAAGGCTATAGTCTGGACTAATGAAAAGGCTATAGTCTGGATTATAGACAAAGCTATAGTCTGGATTACAGACAAGGCTATAGTCTGGACTATTGACAAGGCTATAGTCTGGACTATAGACAAAGCTAAAGTCTGGACTATAGACAAGG